GATGGTGAGAGCCATTTGACAGTGGAAGACGCTGCCTGGGAAGGTGGTGGAGCCTCCATCAAGCTGTTTTTAAAGATGCTATTTTTCAAGAGAGGCTGGATGACCATCTGTCACAGGGAAGGCTTTGATGGTGTCTTCCTTCATGGGAGAAGAGGGACGGACTGGATGGACCTTGGGGTCTCTTCCAATTCTAGGATTCTATGAGTGTAACTACATGCAATGCCATCTTCTTAATGAATTGCAACATCAAATGCACACAGACATCTGTATGCAATGTGCATCAGTGTGCACCCATCTGCAATAGACAATGGCTGGCTCCTTGTCAGCACATGCAGTGGGCCCATGGTATCCACTGGGGTTTGGTTCCAGGACTCCCCTCCCCTAATGGATACCAAAATCTGTAGATGCTCAAGTCCTACTAGATACGATGGTGTAATGAAATGGTGCCATTTATATAAAATGGCAAAACATTTGCTACTTGGATTTTTTTGGGGTGGTGGTGGTGGTGGTATATTTTCAAGCCATGAATAGTTGAATCCGTGGATGCAGAATCTATGCTCACATAGAACCAACTGTAAAATGGTACCCCTTATATAAAATTTTGCAGTTTTTTTTGAGGGGGGGGGATATTTTGAAGCCATGGATTGTTGAATTCATGGATGCAAAATGCATGGGTATGGAGGGCCAACTGCAAATGTGCAGCTTCAGCATGCATAAACCCCCTTTTGGAAGGGGGAGAGAGAGCACATTGTTCTCTTGCCTTGCACTCCATACAAAAACTTTACATACCTGAAAGCTGTCAATCCCTGGAAAGTGCTGCTGGCAGGGGTCGAGGGAGGAGGTGATTCAACTGTGAAGATCTGCCCATTCTTGGCTGCTGGGAGAAGCAAAAGATGGGCATACTCCATTGGAGAGTGCCCCCTCATGTCATCCCTTGCTTGATTTGAGACTAGTCTCTAAGGCCAGCATTAGCCCCCCCATCCCTCCTTCCCAATGGGTAAGTAAAAGCAACCTCCCTCAAGGTGTGGCAATTGCTGAGTGTGAAGGGACACAGAACTACATGTGCAGAGTCATGTTCACATGTGGAATTTCTGCCAATGTGCATCCATGTGCAATGGTATGGCATGCACAACTCCACTTCTGCTTGAGCTTCTCCATCAGTCAAAAACGCCCAACGTCTTCTGTAGGGGAGCCTTACAACTGTGTAAAAGACCATTTGGATGCCAGCTTGTGGCTGCTGACTTGGACATTTTTTGTCAAAACAACAACAACAATAACATGTTCACCAAAAAGTCATAATGAAATGGTCACATTTAATGAACAACCTCTTTCCTGTGTCTGCTCCCTCTCCCACATGTATGCGCGTGAGTGTGATTTTGTAATATTTTTATATACATCTATAAAAATTTCAAATACATGGTTGTTAACATTTGGAATAATAGGACGTACGGTATTAAATACTGCACTTTGAACCAGGGGGAGGTGGGGAAAGGGATTGGAGTGGGGAGGGCCGAAAGGGGGCATTACAAAAACAGGACTTGGGGGGTTTGGAGGGAGAGGGACAGAAGGGGTGTTTGTGTGTGTGGGACACATTTCAGTGCCGTTACATTTCCCTTATTTATACACCCCACTTCCCAGTAATAAGACCAATACACAAACCCAAGTGTTTCTTTGTATAAACGGGATGGACGCAGTAACAAACAGAGGGAGTCAAGAAGTCAGGGAGGGGAAGAGACGTTCCAGGACCAGCCCCTCCATCTTGTTCTGATCAGGAAGGTGC